TTTTTTTTACTTAAATTTTCGGTCAAAGGAAAAAAATCAAGTTTTTGGTTTTTTTTTTATAACTTTCGCGCAACCTATAAAAACAATGACGTACCATGACATCCGTCACTATTCTTTACATTCTCTTAATTTATCGACACAGCAAGGCGGTTAGCTGGCAAGATGGTTCGTGATTATAGATCAGAGCATCCTGTGATTCCAATTAACAATGATAATGGAGATAAATAGAATATTTAAAAGAGTGCAATCAATAATAATTGGACTCGCAAGGAGTAATATTTAGCAGCAAATTGTTTAATTCAGTTAAGCATGAGCTATACAAATTATTTATTGTTAACATTTTGAAATGAATGGAATGTTTGCTATAAATAATACAAAATAAATAAACATATATGATACAATATCAATCCTAATTACAGATATTTATTCGCCAAATTTTTGCAAACTGTTTAAAACCTCAGTACCATCCAATCTTCTAGCCAAAGTTGTTATAAATTCCATTGTACTGCTATCAACTTTTTCGGTTCTCTCTGATATAGCAACTAAATAAACATGGTGTTCTACGTGAATGAAATAATAACACGCATTTTGATCTTTCACGCATACCGGTTCACTTTTGTCTAAAGAGGCCCCTTTCTTTTCATTGTTTTCCTGAATAATTGATATTATTTTGGGCAAATGGTCCATCGGAATTTTGTCCTATCATGGATATATAAAACTTACACATTTGCAACTTGGAAGAATCAATGCTCATCATAAATAAAAGATACTCACCTCACATGAATAAATAAAACGAAAAGAACCTTCTCCCGCCAAATTATAACCATTTTCATGGAATGGTTCATCTGTGATTTCGTATACTAATGAAATGTGTCGGTTTCTAAAGTTTCTAATCCTATAATTATCATGTCATTAATAAGACTGATTCAGGACAAACAAGTGTACATGAATAGGTTTTTTAAATGAAACGTACGCTGAATGATAGTCTGGATTAATCCTCCTCAATAACGACCTTACATCGGCTCCCATCGCTGTCTCTCTTCCCAGAAAAATACGCATAAAATATAATGACATTTTCGAGATCAAATTATTTAGGAACTTTTCAAGCCATAGGATGTGGTTTGGTGAATTGTGTCCACGTTTTACATGCCTCTATCGTAATAATAGGAAGGCGAGTGAATAAATATGCTTCTTGTCCTCCATTAGATATAATCACAGAATAACTCATTACTCACATCAGGAGCTATAAAAAATGCCTGAATTGCTTGAAGTGTGCTACCGGTTTCCTCGGATTTTTGCTGGAGATCGAAAAAAAACAAGTGTCAAATGATTCCAACACAAAAATAATAAGTATATCATAACAAAATTTACCTCAGAATATATTTGTTGTGAACAAATTTCTTTCCAAGAAGAAATAAGTGATTTCACCTTATAAAGGAATATGACCGAGGCTTCAAGATTATATTCAATGATTGCTTTGCGCCCCATAAAAAGGTATTTTAAGATTGTCAATTCTTTTCTGGAAGGATTATTAACAATCGTCATGTTGAACATGAACGAAAAAAAATGTGAATCCAGAAAGAAAAATCAAATTTGTATAAAAACGCGATCACTCACTCTACTCCTACACCCAATGATCCCATGCATTCGGTTATTTTGAACTCCCCAACTTTTTCTTTACAAGCTTCTATTTTATCAGTAAAATTCTCTGACATCACATTTTGAAAATAAATCGGTATTTCACGATAGCTATAATAAGCAACTTAATTAATCACAATTTTGAATGGTCATTCATAAAATGAAAATCTGGACTTACATAATTATTTGTTCTTGTCTAATCCTCAAAAAATTTTTCAAGTTCTGACATATTTTCACGAGGCGATCCACATCAGGTTGATCAGGTGGCGATTTTATAAAATTTCTGATAGAATTATTGATATCGGCATACATTTTATTATGCTAAAGACTTGTTCATTAGTGGTGAATTGATATTCAGCGCAAACAAAACACGTTTCAATTGGTGCTTGCGCTTACATCTCTACGAAAAAATTTCATTTTCAAATACTCAAAAGAGGTATAAGATTGTTCGCATTTTACAATGGAAATAAGTATTGAACCCATGCTGGGATTAATCTGCATTTTACATAAATT